CAAAGTAGCAGGGATTCATGTAAAGGACAGTTTGCTAAATTTTAGTAGTCAATGATAGGCTAGTGGATTGTACATATTTTCTGCAAAAAAAAAATAATTGTTTTGTTTCATAGAAAGCCTCTAATAATAGTGGTTTATTTTTTAAAAGCAGCTCTATCAAAATAATTCACATACCAAAAAATTGGATTCATTTAAAATGTACAATTCAGTGGGTATTACAGAGTTGTGAAACTGACACCTACCACAATCTAATTTGAGAACATTTCATCGCCCCAAAAAGAAATCCTGTACTTACCAGCAGTCACCACCCCCACCCCAATCCCAGCCCTAGGCAACTGATAATCTACATTCTGTCTCTATAGATTTGCCTATTCTCGGCATTTTGCTAAGTGGAAGCATACAATATGTGGTCCTCTGTGACTGACTTCTTTCACTTAGCATGTTTCAAGGTTCATCCATGAAGCATGCATCAGCACTTCATTCCATTCCATTCTTATTGCCAAATAATATTCTACTACATGGATGTCTCACATTTTATTTATTCATTAATCCACTGATGGACATTTAGGATGTTTCCACTTTTTGCCTATTATGAACGATGCTATGAACATTCATGTCCATATTTTTATATGAGCATATGTTTTCATTCTCTGGGGTATATAGACTGATACTTTCCCGATTGAGACTGCGTGGTACTAGCACGAGGATAGATATATACAGAGCAATGGAATAGAATTGAGGATCTACAATTAACCCTGACATTTAGGCCCAATTGTTTTTTGACAAGTGTGCCGTGTATAAAATTAATGCAAAATGGGTCACAGACCTAAGTAGAAGACTTAAAATTATAAAATTCTTGGAGAAAAACACAGGAGTAAATCTTTGTGAGGAAGAGAACCAACTTCATCCTTATATCCAGTTGTCTCAGCACCATTTGTTGGAAAGACTCTTCTTTTCCCATTGGATTGTCCCGGCATGCTTGCTGGAATCCTGAAGCATGAGTCCTCCAACTTGGTTCTTTTTCAAGATTGTTTTGGCTATTCTGGGTCCCTTGCATTTCCATATGATTTTTAAGGATCAGCTTTTTCATCTCTCTGGAAATAAATTTTGATGCCCAGTGAAAACTTCTACTTGCATTGCAACTCGCCCATGGGCAGTTGTGAAATCTCCTTGGTATGAACTCAAGTGTGGAACAAATGTGGTTGGTGGAAGTGTAAACCTGCTTAAAGGCTTGTATGAAGGACAAGCAAAAAGGCTTCCAGACACCGATTCTAAAAATGGTTTTGTTTTTAGTGACATTTTCAAATTAGAAACACTCTAGTATTTTTGTTTACCAGTTTATCATTGATCACATACTCCAGTGTAAGGGTTTTCCATTAAAACATATTTTAAAAGTAAAAAGCAGTCTGTGCTATCTTCTCTGTTATCTAACAGAGTACGTATAGAGCACCTACTTCATATAACGTGTATAACACTGGTCCTGCACACCAAAGATCCTGATTCCTTTTGGGCTGAGGCCCGGGCATCTGTATTTTAAAAAATATACTGGTGATTGTCATGTGGCCCCTCCATTGAAAGCAACTGCGGCATCCTGACTCCCTCCTCAGGTCTCCAGTCTTGCTGCCTGCCAGACCATCCCTGACTTCTCAGCCCAAGAGAGATCTCTACTCAAAGTGTTGGGAAGGAACTAGTAGCTGCTGTGGGAACTTGTTACAAATACAGGATCTCAGGCCCTGGCCCAGACCTACAAAGTCAGAATCCGCCTTTTAATAAGATCCCCACATGAGTTGTATACCCCAGAGGTTGGTAAACTGTGGTCTACAGACCAAATCTGCCTTACCCCATTTTTGTAGGCCACTGCCTGAGGAGTTGGGCCTCTGTGGGTTAGTGCTCTGAGACTGCCAGAAGTGAGCCCAGGCAGCACCCTCTGCCGCTGCTGCCCCATCCACTCCCAGCACTTGCCCCTGCAGCCCACGGCTGTGCCTGGCTGCGCCCAAGGTCCTGCTGGTCACCACCTACACACTGGGGACTCTGCTGTTGGCAACTGCTGGGACCAAGCAGTGAAATCTCAGTATGGGAGTCTGTGATTCTGTGAGCAGCCTCGTGTCTGGCCACCTGCCAAGTTGAGGTGGCTTCTCTGGGAGGAGGGATTGCTGGCTGGGATCTGGGCGTCACTAGAGCGGAGAATGAAGCTGCCCATCCCCCCTTAGGCCTGCCCTGAGAATGTCTCCAGTTGAGGGCTGCTGGGCACAAGGAGGGTGGACTGATCTACCCCAGGAAAATGGGGCAAGGTGGGACAGGAGTTTTCTCGCCTATTAAGTTCTTAGATAACAGCCTCAATTTTGCTTCTTGGCATAACAATGTTTACTATTTGGCCCTTTACAGAGAAAGTTTGTCAACCCTTGATCTACACGTTAAAGTTGGAGCTACTTGCATTTTGCAGTGTGCGTCTCCCGGCCATAGACATCTACGCCTGGGCTTGGGGTCCTCTACCACTCTCAGTCACCGACGTGTCTCTTACCCATCCCTTCAGGACCCAGCCTGGGTCAATTTTAGAGGAAAGCTCCTTTTATTTCCTGGTCTTCCAGAATGGCTCCTTCTCTCTGTCCCCTGGGCACTTAGGGCATTGCATTTTAATTGTGTTTACTTTTCTTTCTCTCCCTCCAGGGCCTTTCTCACATTTCAGTGTATATCAGACTCACCTGAGTTTCAGATTTAGTAGATCTGGGGTTGAGCCCAGGAATTTGCATTTCTAACAAGTTCCCCAGGATGTTGCTGCTGCTGGTGGTCACATTTGGTAACTGTGACTCCAGCTCCTTCTAGAGATCTCAACTTAAACCTTGAGATCAAAGAGACATTCCCAATGGCCCCATCTCAAGTGGCTCTGTTCCCACTCTTGCTTTCTATCTCAGCTCCTTATTTGTTTATATCAGCAGTCCTCAATATGTGGTCTCAGGAATTCTTTGCACTCTTAAAAATTATTGAGAACCCCAGAGAGTTTTGGTTTATGTGGATTATAGCTATCAACATTTACTCTCTTAGAAATTAAAATTGAGAAAAATTTTAAATGTTGATTAGTTCATTTAAAAAACTATGCAAACTCATTATACCATAATATGTATATAATTTTTATGAAAAATATGTTTTCCAAAATAAAAGTAATATGAAGAGTGGCATTGGTTTACTCCATGCCCCCCTCAATTTCTTTAATGCCTGGCTTATAGAAGATGGCTGAATTCTCTCATCTGCTTCTGCATTTGTTGTTTTGTTGCTTTGTTTTGTCAAAGTATATACAGAAAATCTTTATATATGTGTGTCTATATATATACACATATGTGCACACATAAGTATATTTATATAAAGTTAGAAAAAGGAGTAGTGTTTTTAGATAATTATGGATATTCTTCTTTGACACTACACCAAAATTGGACAAGTGGCAGTGTCTTAAAGTTTAGTTGTGTTACCTCCCAGAGAGGACTGTTTACTTGGCAGGTGTCAGGCTAATAGACATGGCCAAGTTGGTTATAGCAAGGGGGTTTTATTAGCTGATACAAGTAAGGATAACACTGGGGATAGTTCCCAAAACAGTGTGTCCCTGAGCAAGGAGGTTGGGCTGGGTTTATAGACAAAGGGTAATGAGGTGTGATTTGATTGGATCTTGCAATGAGGTGATGCCAGGAGGCGTGATTGGATTGGATCCTATCACACAGTCTCTGTCCCCTTCTTAATTCAGTCCCCACTCCTTGGTCTGAGCACTAAGGTTCTGCCCGTGGTTGCATGCTTGGTTCATCTGGGCATGCTCATGTTATGTGACCTTCAACCTGAGGGGTCCATGGCAACTAAAAACAACTGACAGTTTTGTTGCATTAAAGTTGAGCCAGATTGGTCTGGTGTGGTTACATTTGCAGTGTGGAATCTGAAATGATATCAGTGCATTTTCTGTGCTGTTTAATTAAAATCCATTGGTTTATCTCAAATGGTTCTCTTTACCCATGCATGATTTTGTAACATCCTATACTTGTAATATGGAAAATATTGGTCCACAGGGTGATGAATATTTTTCAATGTTGACACAGTTTATGATACAATATTTTAAAATAACATTTATCGAGTCATAGAATCAAAGGTAAAGATTTAATAAAAATAATTCTAATTGTTTCATTTAGGATGTTCCTATGAAACTGGCTTTTTTTTTTTAAACTGTAAGTGTGTGGTGAACAGCATGACTACTGGTCCAGTTTGGTGTCACTGCCCTGCTTTGTGCTCAGGCACCAGCTGTTTTCTACACCATTTCCTTTGAACCATCAGGACAATTGTCAACACATTGAAAATGGCCAGTAACATTTTAATATAATGAAAACAGTTTGGATCCCCTGAAAGAGCCCCAGGGATCTCTAAGGGTCTATAGACTATAGTTTGAGAACTACTGGTTTATGGCATAACATTAATAACTATTTTTGGCTATTTATATGTATTTTTGCATCTTTTTAGCTCCCCAACTGGTGTAGCAATTGTATTTAATTTCCACAGAGCACCCGCTGGTGCTGGATCCAGTTTATACTGGATTCAGAAATCCAGTATAAACTTTTCATGTGGATTGACACTTATCTTCACAACAACCCTGGCAGATTATACTTATTCTACAAATGAGAAAGTTAGGATGGAATTATACAACTAGCTAAAGGTAACACTTCTGGAACTTTGAAGTAGTAATAAGAAACAGCACTGGGAGGTGGTTTGATGACAGAGAGCAGAGTGCCAGCCCATGAGTTTAGACATAAACTATGTATCAATAGTTTTGGGATAGGGGACTGGCATGCACTAACCACAGTAGCTAAGATCTAAGTGCACACTCAGCAGAGCACACACAGGAAGCAACCCTAGATGCAAAGTCATGTGACAGGAAAGAAAATGAATGACACAGAAGTCCATGAGATCACTCACTAAATAAAGGATTGTATGGTATTTCCCAAGTGGCATGTCTCTCCCACAGGTCTCTTCTGTCATGGAATTAGCCAAAATGTCAGACATGACAAAGCTCCACCAAGCTGTGGCTGCAGGGGACTATAATTCAGTGAGAAAGATTTTGAAGAAAGGTCTCTGTGACCCAAACTACAAGGATGTGGACTGGAATGACCGGACCCCACTTCACTGGGCTGCAATCAGAGGTGAGTGGGCAATGCCCAGGTAGAGGCATACTTCTGAGCCCACCATTCATGAGGATATCAGTCAGTAGGCTGTATGGAAGAGTGGAAAGAACACTTTTTCGGAGCCAGATGGAACATTTCAATCCTGACACTGCCACTTACTAATTGTAGCACCTTAAGCAAGTGATTTAGCATCTCTGGGCCTCAGTTTATTCATCTCTATAATGGGGGCAGGAATGCTACCTTGGAGTCCTGTGATGGGGATTCAAAAAGACAATGTGTGTGTAGTGCCTGTCATATAGTCTGCTCTGAATATTAATCCTTTTCTCTCTCAAGCTCTGCCAGGAATGGAACATCATGGGAAAGAGTAGGGTCTTTGTCTCATTCATCACAGAATCCGCCATGCTGGGCATGGCTCAGTTATAGAATTGGAGGAGGATAGTGGCAAAAACTCAGCCAATGGGCTTGTGAGGGCTTTGGCATAGAACACCACTGAAGAATGTTAAGTAAGAATGTGTTGTAGTCAACCTTGCTTTTTAGAAGTTTGTTTTGGCTCCTGTATGGAGAATGGGTTGGCAGGAAGCAAGACTGGCTGCAGAGAAATTAGTTGGGATATTTTTGCAGAAATCTAAGTACAAAGTGAAGGTAGCTATACTACAGTGCCTTTTAGTGAGCATTTACTATGTGCCGGGCACTGTGCTCTGTACTCTAGGCCTGTGATTTCACTTGTACTCCACAAGAATTCAACAAGGTAATATCCTTAATTTACAAATGAAGAAACTGAGCCTCAGACATTTATTTCTTGTCCGAGGTGCCACTTGTTAGCAAGTGGTATCCTCAGGATATGAACTCACATCTGTTGACTAGAAAGCCTGTGCTCTTAACCTGTGCCAGCTATAATGTGAGTGGGACTTAAAACATTTGTTTTTGAAGTCAGCATTGAGACTACCAAAAGCAGAATGAGCCTTTGCAATAGGCAGGTAGAGCGTGACTTGGGAGAGAAAGCAAGATTCCTAGCAGGGCCAGAGGCAGCGGACAGGGGAGGAGTACAGGGAACACCGGGAAGGTGCAGGCTCAGGGTGGGGCAAGGTTCATGGGGTGAGGGTAGGGCCCTGAGTCCCTGGTAAGAAGGGGCAGAAGGGAGGAGGGGATGGTGACAGGAAACTGGAAGCTCCTCAAAGGCTCCCCAGAGTCCTTCTATTGTGTTACCCGGGTTGGCCCCGGCCTCAGGCCACCAGAGACATTTTTATCTCACCCCCATCCTGTTTCTTCTTGGTCCATATAAGGGCAAATGGAAGTGGTGCACCTCCTGATAGAATATGGAGCCAGGCCCTGCCTGGTCACCGATGTGGGCTGGACCCCTGCTCATTTTGCAGCTGAGTCAGGCCACCTGAATGTACTCAGAACTCTCCACGCATTGCATGCGGCCATTGACGCCCCAGACTTCTTCGGTGACACACCAAAGAGGATCGCACAGATCTATGGGCAGAAAGCCTGTGTGGCATTTCTGGAGAAGTAAGTTTAATTTTTTTTTTTTTCACCTATAGAAGGGACAGAGAAACAAGAGTCTATGATCAAGGTCTTGGCTGACACAGTGGTCTCAGGTCAATGAAAATGAAATGAGGAAATTCAGCCAATGGACGATTGTTTTTATTGATTTTTTAGTTGAGCTATTTAATTTTTTCATTGAAATGACTAGTTTGTGGGTGAAAACTATATTGACCTATTGTTTTAGAGTATACAAAAATGATCTCAGATAAGAGAGTGGGGATGTCAAGTCTGAAGATGGGACATGGTACAAGAATCATGACCTTCGGCCTTCTGAAAGGTCTCAAACTAGCTTGGCCTTGCGCAAGTCAAGTCACCTTCCTGACCCTTTGTCTCCCCATGTTTAAAATGAGGCTGGTGAACTAGACTTTTTCTATTTTTCAGGACCTTTCTATCTTTTTAAACTTCTATGTTCATCTATGAACCCCCTACCTATCCACACACCAAAGATAGGAATTTGTCTAGCATTTGTTCATTTTTTCATTCTACTGAGCATTCAAACATAATTAAGTACCAGTTATGTATATAACAGTTATATCTCTGAGAGGGATGGAAATAAAATTTAGAAATTTATAATTTGATTGGGTCAACAAGTAATTCATACAAGAAAAAGGAGAGTAACAGAGGGAGGGCATCGTTGCTTGGAAACCAAATGAGACAGACAGCAAATCTATGTGTAGGGGCAGTTCATGGTGGGGGAGGAGGGTGACAGTGAAATGCCCTCCTAAGAACTTCAAAATACAGTTATCTTCAGAATGTTAAACTAAAAAAATCTTTGCCTGTGATGAGATTGGTTATCTGTAGAAGTAACCCAAGAGACCCTCTCTTAAAGGTGGTGTCTCACAATAAAAATATCCAAAATCACAATTGAGGTGATTTGGGAAGTAAAGAGGAAGAACCTTCAGTCCTGACTCGCAGACTGTCTCTTCTCCCCAATTTCTGCTGTTATCCCCCACGTTCCATGATCTCCATCCACTGTGGACCTCGGCATCAGCATTATTCTCTGAACTTTTTAAAACGCTGACATACCACTATGTGACCGTAACTCCCTTCATTTTATCAGTTCCTACGTCATCACATAGGTCTTTGAAGATCTCTTGTCATCCAACTTGTCTTTTTTCTCCAATCTATCACCTGCCTGAAGATGTCACTAATTTCCCCTTGCTGTCTGGACACCATGATACACTATTTCTTCCACTCTGTTCCTGCTAGTCTTAACTTCCCAACCCTTGGTCCTTTTGTAGCATATAATCCAGAATTCCCAACCTTGAATGAATCTCTATCTTCCCCACTCCTATGCATGGTCAGCTAGAGATAATCCCACAAATAAGTAGATGGATATCCCCAGAAGTTTTATGATTTCCACCTTTAGTGGAGCCCTCAGAGTAGCTTGGCTGTCTCTTCCTGTCATACTCTCTCCTTGACAATTCCAATTCTCCTTGACAATTTTCCATCACACCTGAGCTTCTCAGAGGGTAAGTCTTCTGCTTCAGAGATAATATTGAAGCCATGGGGGATACATTTTTCAACCTATAGATTTTATAAACACCAATATCAGTTCCTTCTTGCTTTCCTATCCCTCCTGTGAAAAGTGTTATACCTTCCTATGGACCCTTGATCAAATCTTTTATGTCTTCTACAACTATGATCCCCATCCCCTGGGCCATGGACTGGTACCCATCAGTGGCCTGTTAGAGACTGGGCCACACAGCAGGAGGTGAATGGTGGGTGAGCAAGCAAAGCTTCATTTGTATTCACAGCTGCTCCCCATCACTCGCATCACTGCCTAAGCTCCGCCTCCTTCAGATCAGCAGCAGCATTAGATTCTCATAGGAGTGCAAACCCTGCTGTAAACTGTGCATGCGAGGGATCTAGGTTTCTGACTCCTTATGAGAATCTAATGCCTGATGATCTGAGGTGGAGCAGAGGTGGTGATGCTAGCGCTGGGGAGCAGCTGCAAATACAGATTATCATTAGCAGAGAGGTTTGACTGCACAGTAAATGTAATGCACTTGAATCATCCTCAAACCAGCCCCCTCACTCCTGTCCATGGAAAAATTGTCTTCCATGAAACCACTCTCTTGTGCCAAAAAGGTTGGGGACCGCTGTTCTACAAGACCATCATTCATGTATTCTTTGTTATATTTTTATTCTTTCTCCTGCATTTTTAGTTTTTTCTGTTCCTTCCTTTGACTTCCTTTTGGTGTGTGAACACATTCAAACAGATTCTGTTAAAGACACAAAAAGTCAAAGGCCCCTCTAACTTCTGCTGTGTCTTTCTTCCTCCCTATACATCTAAGCTACTTGCATGTCAATCTGCGCAATTATCTGTACTTTCTCACCTCTCACCCACTTTTCAGACTTCTTCCCCCATCCTTGTACTGAATCAGCTCTCAGCCAAGTTCCCAGGGAGTTCCTTCTTGCTAACCCAATGGCCTCTTCTCAATACACATCTTGCCTCTACTTAATTCAGTATTTGATATTCCTGAAACTCTTCTCCCTTGCTGTATCTGATGCTGCTCTCTTTTCGTTTTCCTTTTACCTCTCTGATCACGTCTTGTGATTTTTTTATATGCTTTTCCTAAGAATAAATCTCATGATTTACTCTCGCATGCCTTTTAGATGCTGAAATTCCTCATGGTCCTGTCCTTGGCTGTCCTCTACTGACTTTCTCTGAGTAATCTCCACCCCTCCCTAGTGACCTGTGGGTGGATGAACATGATACATGATTTCAGCCTAACTGAAGCGGAGGAGGAGTGGCTCCCCCACATATAGCGGGGAGTGCTATTGCCATGGAAAGTACACAGGCAGGGATGAGCAGACAGAAACAACAAAGGACAATCACATGATGTGCCAGTCATTCCTACTTACCAGCATCTCTCTCTAGGAACTTCCCTTCTGACAAAAGGTTTAGAAAGAAGAATCCTTGATTAAGGGGAAATTAGTCTGGACCTTGAAAGACAGCTAAGACCTGGCTAATGGAGGAAGGAGGAAAACTGTTGATTTGGAGTGAAGGCACCAACTTGGAAGGCACAGGTGGTGTGTATGTGTGAGGAGGAAGAGGGACAGTGGAGGGACAGTGCAGGAATGAGTGGCCTGGCTAAGCAGAGATTCACGCTAAAGAGGAATAGAGGTTAAGGCGAGTGGGTGGGTGACCATAGTGAGCCCGGCAAGCACATGAGTGTGAGCTCAGCAGGGGACTGATGAGCTGGAATAGATGCCCTAGCAATTGACTCGTGTAGCGGGGGAGGTGCCAGTGGTGCTGTGCAGGTAGAAGTGAAGACAGACTTCAGGCGAGGAGATCACTTGAGGAATTTCTTAACAATTCACCTTGTGAGTAAGTGAGCTCCCAGGCTAGGATGTTGAAGAAAAAGGACGTAGGAGAATTTCAAAAGAAGCGTAAACAGTATTTAATAATTCTCCGAACATCCTAGAGATCACCTGGAACCATTTAACTTTTGATTCAGCCTCCCTAAGTGATAAACCACTCATGCAACAAATAATTTTGAGTCCTACTATGTGCGGTCATTGAGTAAGACACTAAAAAGGGCCTGAAGATAAGTCAGGTACAGTGCTGGACATCAAGAAGTTCTCTGTCTGGGAGAGGAAATCACTTGTTTACATAAATAACACAAATACGAGATTGAGAGTGACAAGGCAGAGGAGGGACGATTTGTGGTCTGAAGATAGAAAGGTCATTTCCAGCTTGGGGAGAGGGCAGTGAGGGTCAAGCAGGTTTGCTGTGCTTTGAATGAACTGTGCTTTTTACACTCAAGATGCTGTTTGCCCTGCCCACACCATCATCTAGCCTCTCAAATTCCATTTGTCCTCATATTGTTCAAATTTTATCTCTGTGAAGTGACTTTCGCCAATGTTTTCAAACAAGTCCCATACTCACCTTTGGCTTCACATACAAAACTTCCCATTGTCTATGTGTGTATGATAATCCATTTGTCTGTCTGTCTATCTGTTTATTATCCATCCGTCCATCTACAATTATCTATATTTTTACATCATCCATCCATACATATAATACATACGTAATTATGTGTGATTTTTATTTTCTTCCTTATGTTTCTGTACTTTTAAATGTTATACAAAGAACATACATCACTCTTACAATTAGGAATAATACAATTAAAAACAAACAAAGGAAAACAGCCTCCCAGTTATAGGCAGGTTGCTTTATAAATGTGAGCACTTTAAGAATGAGCAGCATCTTTTTCAAACCGAGTGACTGTCTTTGAGCCTATTAACATCTCACTGCGGTCACACCAGTTTTCTCTACCTCCGAGTAGTTTCTGTGGTGTGGGAGACCTGCCTAAGTGTACCCTTGGAAATGCTCACACGTGGCCTCCTTCCTCCTGGGCTGCCCCTGCCCCGTGTGGAGGAGAGGCCCCGCTGCTCCCGCGTTCAGAGCCGCCCCTTCTTTCCTAGGGCCGAGCCCGAGTGCCGGGACCACCGCCGCGCCGCCCTGCAGAGGGGGCTGCCTCTGGATGAGCGGGACCGAGACTGGGACGCCAAGAAAAGGGAGCTGGAGCTGTCTCTTCCCTCCCAGAATCGAAACACTAATAAAAGGAATAAGAAAAGCCAAGGCCCCCCCAGGCCCGGCAATCCCAAGGACAGGAGACTGTGAGAGGAGCTGGCAGGCGCCTGCGATCTTTGATATTTACGTGACTTTACTCACAGCCCTTACCCAGCGGGCTTCTGCCGGAAGCTCATGACCGTCGTTCAGTCTGAAAGTCTTGCCTGGGTGCTCTCCATAGCGGCTGTTATTTCCTTGCTAAAAAATGCTGTCCGCAAGAATTACCATTTTGTCATCAGTGATTCGCACTGTCAGCATCTCCTCACCCTCCTTCCCCTGCAATTACAGAATTTCAGAGGACAAGGGAAGAGTTTTCCGAAGGCAACCTGATTTTTTTCAATGTTAAAAAAAAAAGTAAAAACAAAAATCTCAAAAATATTCAATGTAATCAGTTCAAGCTATGAAAAAAATTATTTGTTGTTGCATAAACCAAGCAAAGACGTGAACAAAGGTATTTTCCAGTTTCTAGCTATTTTTTCTCTGTGGGTGGGAGCCCACAATCCCAGCATGGACATTTTTATCCACGATCATCTCTACATAGAAACAGTCTGGGCAATAAACCAGCTCAGTGAGAAATAACTAGCAACCCTGGAATTAGTTTAATTTCATCCCAGATAACTAATGATAATGTCAAATAATGGAACGTGATTATAGGTCTACTTTTTCAACTGAAAATGTAAATACAGATCAGATACTCCCAATAAAAATATAGCATCCAAACTGAGATGTAAAATGCACATTAAATTTTGAAGACTTAGTACAAAAAATGTAAAATGTCTCATTAATAATACTTAATATTGATTACATGTTAAAATAATAATATTTGGGATATCAGGTTAAACAAATTATATTATTAAAATGAATTTTATCTCTTTCCTTTCACTTTTTAAAACATGTGACTGCTAGAATGTTTGAAATTACTTATGCGATTTTCATTTTATTTCTATTGGACAGCACCGCTATGGGAACTCAGACAACATACAAAGACCCTACTAGTAAACTGGTCTGGTGTGTTTTACTTTTCTTGGCTACTCCACATTCCAGATTCACTAATTTCTCTGCCTAAATCAATGTCTTTAGCTACTAAACATCTTTATTATGCATTCTTCAATTAATGCTTGTTTAATACAGACCATACTTGGTTTGAATGTTCTGAAATGAAAAAAAAAAATGCTTGAATATCTTATAGGAAAGCAGTACAGCTACAGAGGATACCTTTTCTAGTGTTTATCTACCCCTGAGAATCAATCCCTTTCTCTATTATCCGAAATTCACAGGATGGATCCTGCTTGCCACGTTTTTTGCTGGTCCCCAGCCAGAACAAACATCGGAAGACAACTGACTTGAGAGGGACTAATAGAATTCTTCTCCTGGGTATTTGAACAGAATTCTTCATGAGATGTTGGACTAGTAGCAGATAACTTCAGAAGTATGGAATGGCTAATTCTACAATAGGGCCGAGAAAGTACAGAGAGGTCTTCTACAAAGAGGAAAAGAAAACTGATGCAAAAGATGGAGAGATCGAGACAGATGAATAGATAGACAACACCTTTTTATTCCTAGTTCTGGCTCCTTACTCAGGAATCTGTGAAATATTATTTTCATAATAAAATTTTCTCTTTACTTATAGTATATTGAATTGATTTTTTTCCCTTACAACCAGACTTTTCTAATATGTACAGTATTTTAAGCTCACGGGCTTATAAATAAAGCAGACTTAGGTTTGCATCCTCCTCTGTTGAAATAGACAGTAATCCCCATTTGTTGGGGTTGCTGTGAGGATGAGACGGACAGTAGTATGCAAAATGCTGGCATTGGTGCACTGCAACTGCTCCATGCCATGGCTATTGCATTACTATAGAAGTGAGCTCAGTTTTCCCCTGGGAATCCCAGTGGGGTCCAGGAATAATGCCCTTGACTAGTCAAGTGAGGATCTCCATTGTCCAGTCCATAAATATCCCTTGCCTAGTTTTATGACATGGATAATAGCCTGTCTTCCATTGGCTGGACAGACCTGGACCAAACTGGGATAAGTCAAGTGTCCTTTGGGATCTCTTACTGTGTCCACAACTCTATGGCCTCCCAGTGCCCTCACTGTGCCCTCCTTCCATGCTTATTCTTAAGGAGGTATTAGGAGAGATATGTCTTCTCCCATGAGTTTTTGTATGGTAAATGAGAACAACCAGGAAGAGGACACTAAAACAGCTTCTCTGTATGAAGAATTTGATGCAATATAGATAGACTCTGTGCTAAGTACTTTACATGTATTATATCTAGTCTGCATGACATACCTGCAAGGCAGGTATTATTATCCCCAATTGATACCATAAACTGAAGTTCTGAGAGGCTGAGTGATTTGCCCTAGGCCATCTGGCTGATATTTGTATAGCCTTTAAAGACTGACTGGATTTGGATGGAATGCTAACCCTCAGGCTTTGGGACCGTGGGCAAGTTGCTTAACTTTCTAGTAAATTGGGAATAATACCAGTGCCTATGCCATAGTGTTGTGGTGAGGATTAAATGAGATTACACATGTCAAATATTTAGCACAAATGTCTTCCACACGGTAAGGGGTCATCAAATGTCAATTGTTGTGGTGCTTAGTATTTTTCATAGCCTTCAATGTCCCAGATATATAACAGAGAAGAAAGGCTTGCTAAGAAGTGTTAGCGTCAGTCCCGAGGGAAAGTTTTGTGGCGCTGTATTCTCTCTGAAGCCCATCAAAGCCCTGAATGCAGGTGCCCACCCATTTCCCTGCCCCTGAGGTTGAGCTCTCCACCAGGCAGCCTCAGGGCTGAGGCTCAGCCCTTGCAAAGTGCATGGGTAATAATAGATGAACTTCCCACGTCCTGCCTTCCCTCTGTTGTGAGGCCAGTCCAGCTCAGTGGATCTGAGGATGTGAGCAGGTGGAGGGTGTGGTATTTGCAACCCTCATCTGTTCTCTCCCAACCTCACAGGCTGGGAGGAATTAGCTGTTCACACAGTATAGGAAATAAGGGCGGCACCATGTCATAGAAAGGGCAGTGGAGAGGAGAGAGGCCGTTCTGGGCTTGACTCGGCATGGAACTGACCATGTGACCGTGGGCAGTGATGCTGGGATAAGAACCCTTACCTGTAAAACAAGAGGATAGAACTGGATTAAGATCACATTTAATCCTGATTTCACATATAAGTCTGGGACCCTCTGACCTAGCCAGTCAAGAAACCAAGATAAAGCAGGATGTTTTCCTGATGAATTCACACAGACATCCAATCTAGATATTTAAATTAAGATA